CATACTAGAAGGAGTCTGTCTAAGGAAGCCATACTTTTTCCTGAATGCCCGATGTAATGTAATATCTTGTCATTGTTTAACATTAGCGCATTACATGTTGGAAAGCCTTCAAACATTTGAAAATATGTTAACATCTATTATACAACAGGAGAAATGATGAAAAACAAAAAAAAAAATGCTGTATTTGCTTCTGGGAATAAATTGGGGCTGCTTGTCTTTTGACCAAGCAAGTTTAGTCAATGACTGCTCACTTCTCCAAACTCACATCTATTTGAAGTGGGTGCCAATTTAGTTCTGTATAATTTACTTTTCACTGCTCTATAGACCTCCAAGGTACATACATTGCAAAGACATCCATGAGCAGAAAACGTTCATCGGCATGTCAACCAGCATGAAGCTTCCCAGCGGCTGCACAGTCACGAAGCTTGGTAGGAATGTTGGTGCGGTTGGTATTGCACTAGTCTATCGTGCTGAAGGTGCTATTTCTACTATTCAACTTCCTCATTTCCTCCTCAGAAAACTGCTGCCATTTTCCCAGTTCTTCAGCATCCCATTTGCTTATTCCAGTTCTGTAGGACACAGAAAACAAGGAATACGCAATACGTCCAGTATGGAGTGTACTGCAAAGACCAAGCATTAGAATTTCGTCTTCAGGAAGCCAATTATCTGCTTCACCATGCTTCTGACGGAAGAATGGGCTGCATTGTACACTCAGCCTCAGTCAGATGGTTGTGTTACAGCATATTCAGCTATGCATACAGACAGTAGCCTGTGTCTCCCAGTAACCATACTGTAAAACATTTAGCCTTTGAAATAAAACAGGAATATGAGTGTGCTCAAGGATATGGGCATTGTGGGAACTTCTAGGATGTGATACTGATGATCACAGAATACTTGTATGTAATGGCATCTTTTTCTGCTGAGTAGGCTGTTATGATGAGGAGTTCTCAACACAATGCGACAATCTATAGCACCCTGCAGCTGGGGGAAACCAGCCATGTTAGCAAAGTCTGCTGTCCAGGACTGACATCGTCACAGGGAAATGATCTGTGATAAATTGCATCAGTAACATACTTGATACATTTATGAGTTGAGGACTAAGTTATTCCACAGATCTCCAGTGGATCTTTGGAAGCATAAGAATTTACTGCAGTTATCTTCTTGATAGGCACAAGGATTGGATGGCCACCTATCCCAGCAATTGGCAAGTTCTGTTCCAGCAGATGGCATAGTTCTGTGATGGTTTTCCAGGACATCCAAGTCAGGTGGCAATCCACCCCAGTCAAAATGATGCCGAGCATGATAGACTCTTGTTTTCTTATATCTCTGCTGCATCCTGAGGGAACATACAGCTGTAATTTTTACACAGAGGCTGTTCAGCAGCATCTGGAGATTGCTGCTGGTCCCAGACTTACTGGCATATTTATTTCTCTATGATTTTTCTGTGCCTCTATGGCACAACTGCCACAGTAATGATAATCCCTTCTGAAACTGTATTCATTGGTTTCAGTGACAATAAACCTACATTGGGAATATTAGGAACAAACAGATCCTTCATAATGTGAGCAAACAAATGATGCCTCAGCATAGTGCTTGATACAGTGGGACATGGAGGACTCTGACAAGGAGGGCCGTGGCATTCCTCTAAATAGAATTTGACATAGTGGACCTCGTTCCAATATATGCAGCTCAAGCCATCCATGCAACTACAGTAGCAGATGGTAAGTGTGGTATGATTATTAAAACTCTATCCACCTTCCCTTCTGCTGATCAGCTTAAAAGGCAGCATTGCATACAAGAGCATGTTAGCTTATACTTACAGGTCAAAGTGACAGGATGTCAGCTCCATGCCTTTGTAAGCCTAAGAGAACTTACATTGTCTTTGTGAAATGAGGCCTGCAAGCGACAAATTTAAGGTTGCCTGCCTCACTATAGTCATTTTGCACTGACCAATAATATGGTCAACATTTCTTGTGTCCAGGATTTGTACCCCATTTAGTTGGTCACTGCATCCATTTTGCAGCAGGATTCTATGATACAGAAGTCTTTAACGAGTGCTGAGTACCTGACTAATGCATTTGCCTTGAGGGGCCTCACATCATTCACAAATAAAACTGATGAATTCAGATGGAATATCCGTTTACTCCACCTGCTTGATGTGTGGTGGCAGCCATTTTTCATTTCCATTGTACATCAGATAAAAATGGAAGGGGTCACAGAACACGCTTAGAACGAGTCACAGTTTCCGACTAGTGATCTAAGGGACCCTTCCAAACCTTTATATTCCTCTCTTCCCTGCACTTCCTGTCATCTCTATCAGTTATGAGCTTCCACACGTTTTCACCCTATTCTTTAATTTATGCATTCACTTCCCAACATTACCATCTGAGCCCTCTACACACACCTTAGCCATGTCAACCACTGTGCTGCACTGTCACCTCCCACGCCCGCACCCCCCACCCCCCATGAAGCCAGGGTGCTGGTGACTATTGATGATACCTCTTCCCACAGTAACCTACGCCCCCCAGTGCACTCTTGTCTCCCATCCTTAGATGCCGAGTATCCCCCAGTCACAATTATTGTCCTCTCTGCAATCCAGCATGCTTCCTTCAATTCCCACAATTGACCTCCCCAGTGTCTCGACCACAAAGCTGGCCCTGATAACCCCCTTGACTTTTGTAAACAGACATACAAGACTGACCAGGGCACAACCACTTGACAGACTTAGAAGGGCAGCCCTGACTGTTGAGTGACTAGACCCTTGAGAGAATCGTGTGCAACTCCTGATGACTTGCTGCTAATCCCCGGACTGGTTGCATGGGATCTGCAGGACTGACCACGACCCATTCCCTAAATTGTAATGACATGGAACCCCTAACTGTCTCAAATGGCCAACTGATCATAGGCAGATATCAAATACTGCCCTCTATTTACTGCACCAGTACACCCTGACTGATGACAATCTCCCTGGACTTGACTGAGGAGTAGTCCATTTAGGTTTTGAGACATCGCCATTTAGTGGAAGTACACATAATGTATTTGCACCCAAGCTGTTAGCATATCCTGTTGCTGTGACATTAATGTAGCACAGTGCCATACAGCAACATGTCCACCCTTTGACTGACCATTGCTGGCAACCCTGACAAGCTGTCTAGAATTATATTTCTGCTAGACAGCAAGGCAAGACAGAAATACTGTCAACCTGTAAGTTCTGAATGAGGTAGCGAAGTATGAAAAAGTAAGGCAAAGCAAAAGTACTGTGAGTGTCCTTGTAGGTGCAATGTGAGTGAGCACTAAGGAAGCATGCAAAGGGATCTGAGATGCACCCTGATCCAATCCTTGAGTTGGGTGCTTGTCTCTGCATGCAAAATGGCTCAGAAACTACACCAGAATCAGAACTGATGAAGAGTCACCAGAGCCCGAAATGCCTGCCTTCTCCCCATAGATGCTGCCAGACCTGCTGAGTTTCTCAAATTTCTATTTTTGTTGCAATGTAAGGTGTCAGTGTGTCCCAAAGTGCAATATTGAAGTGAAGAACAGTATATTAAGTGGGTTACATGTATGTTATGATGATGTAGTGAGGCATGTTTGATGCCAATGCCTGTGGACAGGGATGAGGGTGGGATGGTGGTTGGGTGGGGGTGTGCTGTGGTGTTTGTGCAGGCAGCTGCTGTCCATGGATCATACCCAGTGATGTTGCAGACCGGGGATCTAGATGGAGGGCATGAGCAGCAAGCAGTGAGCTGGAGCTGCCAAGTACACCCCTCTGACTTTCATGTTGAGAATTGCCACATCTATTTTCTCTCCACCACATAGGAGATTAGCAAACTGCTTATAAATGAGACAAAATTAGGTATTAATAAAATGCAAATATTTGCAAATATAAGCTCACTGGTGAAAGTCTCGTTATGGCATTTAAACCTTGGGTGGTAAACTGGACTTTCTTCTGTTATGTCAAGAATCTCAATTTTCCAACTGACTTGCCATTGACACACATCACTCAGGACTGGTGCAATTTAGGCCTGGGCGTTTGAAAAAAGGAAGAAATGTAGTTGCAGTCAAAAATTGGACTTTGATTACATGGTGAGAGAGTTTTGAAAAATTAATCCGGTGAAAAGGAGCAGCAATTTAGTTATAGTGAAAAGCCAATAACTGTGGGACAAGTTAGATATGCAAAGGATTAAATATAAATCTGATATGAAGGCAAGTTATTCAATTTTTGTCCAAGAAGAAGCTTGTTATTGTTATTGTTGAATTGTTATTCTACACAAATCATTCAGCTCAAAGCTTTGATATTCATACACAAAAACAGACTTTTCACAGAGTGAAAGAATCCTTACCAATGTGGAAGCAGGCCATTCAACCCATCAAGTCCACAACGACCCTCTAAAGAGCATCCTACCCAGATTTAACCCTCTACCCTTTCCCTGTAACCCTGCACTTCCCACGGATAATCCATCTCACGTGCGCATCCCTGGACACTATGGGCAATTTAGCACAGACAGTCACCTAAGGGTGGAATCGAACCCAGATCCCTAGTGCTGTGGGGCAGAAGGGTTAACTAATGAGCCATTATGCCACCCCACAACTGACAGTGTACTATCAGGCTTTTCAAACAGTTCCCCGAATAAAGATATATTAGTAAAGAGTACTAATGTGAAACGCACACCTATTTCATTGGATATAGCAAATTTAAATTGTGCTGTGATAAAGGGGTCTATTGTGGGTGGCATTGTACTAAATTGTCCACAAAAAATGTAATTCTTTTATTAAAAATGATTGGGCATAAGTAATATTGCCTGCAGTATCTGGGGCAATATAACAGAATTCTGGAGTATTCTTGTGAGTAAAAACATTTTGTTACAGAAATGTATTATAGGTGAACAATATGATGCAAGAAAAGATACTCAGAAAATACAAAGGTAAAATAACTCCAGTAATAGACACATGTACAGGGAGAAGTGTCTGCAGAATTTCAAAATGAAACAAAATATACTTACACCTGAAATTGGTACTTGAGCTAATGTCCCACATCTCTATTAAAAACAGAAAAGAAATATGTAAGAAATACATGTCAGTAGTAGGTCACATTTTAAATACTTTATGTATTTAAAAATGTCAGTAACTATATTTAAAAACTATATTGAGTCAGGGTTTTTACATTCAGAAATAGACCCTTCAGCCCATCATGTCACTACTGGTTGTCAAACATTCATCTATTCTAATCCCATCTACAAGCACTTTGCCCATAGCCTTGTATTCTGTGGCATTGTTCTTAAGCATCTTGAGGGTTCATTTTCCTTAAATATTTTCCTAATATAGCAAACCTCAATTTTCCTTACAGGCCTTTCCTCTGTGACAATCCTGAAACAGCATAGTGGATTTTACCCTTAGATGTTATTAATGTAATTCCATTTGGTGAATTCATTGTCAATATACATTATTGCTTGTCATTAGTAACACAGTTAAGATTATTTGCATTTCTAACAATGAGTAAATTAAAAGTTCATTAACTAATGTTCAAGTCCCACCTGTTCCAGAGGTATGCAACAACATCTCTGCCCAGGTTCATTAGAAAATTAGGTACAAGTATTTGAGTAGTTTTCTGTGTATTTAAAGTGCATTCTACTTCAAACTTTACCTGGTTTTGCTGGGTAGTCTTCAACTGTTTTGCACTATTTTTGTTAATACACCCCATCATTAACTTTGTTGTATAAATCGTACAAAGTGATGAGAATCAGTGTTCCTTTGCAGGATCAGTATATGCTGTACGATTTAGATAAGAAAAAGAAAATTTAGATGCAAATAGAAGATTGCATGAACAACAATGCCCAAGGCATTTTGTCTGCACCAGTTATTCTCATGGGACTTGTGTTTTTAGAGTCCTTTGCAACTACAGGACAGCTTGAAACCTATTTTTGTTTGTTCATAAGAAAAGTGAGTACAGCTCAAATATTTACTGTAAGGTAATTCGGAGACTAGACAGGCTTGTAGAAAATTCAAGCTGTTTTCAATGGGTAGTAAACATGCCCTCCACCCATTAACTGATCAACTGCCCAATAACTGTGTTGAGTGGCAATTTCTGATATGTAATAGAGTTAGGAGCCACATTTGGGCCCAGACATCAAATGGAAAGACAAATCCACCCAATCAAATCATGTGACAGAAGTCCCTCATTCCTGCTACCCTTTTGAAAATTGTTTCTACATCATTTCCAAACTTTGACACCCATTCTAAAGTATGTTGCACTGACTTCTACATAATGGGGCAATATTAACATGGGACAGTTCACTGGATTGAATGTGGGTGGAGCTTAGAGTGGGAAAAATTCTAATTGCATCCAGAAGACAGCTCTAATCTACCAATATCAGGAAAGGACAAGAGATAGGCAGCCAACCCATTCCATGGGACACAGCATTGTTCCGTTTGCTCTCAATATCTGGTTGCACCATGTAAGAATACCATTTATTGATGAGGTTTTCCATCAAATTGGATAAAGTTTACAGTAATAATATAATAGTAAAGCATGCGAATAACGTTACCAGGAGCTCATGTTTATCACAATGAATCAGGAGCTTATATTATTACCGATTAGACCTCAGTTTCCAGTAATACGCAAGTAATTTGGATTGGCTCACCATTAATCCATAAATTTCTGATGAACTTTTCACTTCTGGGAGAATATTCATTGGAATGTCAAAGAATCTAGAACAGCACACAAATTAATTACATACCAGAAGAATCACAGTTCCAACTATTCATTTCATATTTGACGTTGAACGCTGCAACCAACAAAAGGCAACAGAGAAGTTTCCAAATTCTATTATTTAAAGCTAATCCAGAAGCTCTATGGCTATCTCTACTTTTTCTTCAAACATTATGTTCAAAAATCCACTATTGTAGCAATAACAAGTACCTCTTTCACAGCTTAGAAAGAATATGAAATGAAAAATGATTCCTACGGAATCAGTCATTATTGCTGAAAAAAAACACATTCTAGTGAAAGGTTTTGTCTTGTACTCGCCAGGACAATTTGTAAAAAAATACTAATGTAAAGGGAAAGGTGAAATCTGATTGATTGGGAAGTGGACTTTAATTGGTAGAGGCACTATCATGGAGAATGCACAGGTTAGATGATGATTGAGAGCTAACAGCCAAATATTAATTTTAAGCCAAGTAAGTTGACTCTGATTGGAAAAGGTATGGCCCTGCTAATTGTACTGGAGAACAGCTATCACCTATTTCAGTTGGGAAAAAGTATAGTGTGTTTGCATGTTCGTTCTGTGGCAAAAAGCAGAGCCCAAGTATTAAAATATGTACTTTCCAGTTTTGCAAGTGAACCACGCTGTGCTCACAGCTGAAAATTCTAAACTAGTTATGGGCAAAATTCTTAAATACTCAGCTGTTTTGCCTTCCAGACAAATGAGTAATAATGAATGTGAATTTTAGTCCTAGTATGATGCTAGATATAAAAGCCTCACATCCTAAAGACTGATGGATCACATCAAACAGAACATCCCTTTGGCTGTTCAGAAAAAAACAAGGTATAGACTGTACTTGCACTTATAAAACTTGCAGCATTTCTTGTGATCCCACAATTGTACAAAGTTTGCTAAATAATTTAGAATGTGTGAAAAATTACACTGACAATGAAAAAATTGTTTCAGGTCCCCTTCATGAATTGACTCTGCAGAAACTGCCCAGGAATTTTAAACTTCCAATGAAAAATTCTCAGAATTCCCCCAACCCTCTGATGCCCCTGTTCATCTGACACCTTCATTGACCCTGCAACTTCTCGACCTGACCCTCAGAACACTACAACCTTCCATCAATTTGGCAACTTCCCCAACATGTCAAATCTACCAACACTCCAACATTGCCCAACACCTCCAACCCTCCTGGACCATCCCAATCCAGACCCGATCCTCTAATCTTCACTCATCCTCCAAACCCAAAGACTCCTTCCTGAGCTGAATTATGCACAGCTGGCACCCTAACCACTAATCTTATACCCACTTGTTAACTAACATTCTGAAAAGCTACGTAAAATATTCCAAAGATTGTCGATATTTTAATGAACGAAAGCTTAGCAGAATATGGCAGCTTGTGCTGTAGATTGTGGAGAAGGATGAAGGGCAGGGCGCTGTTGATTTTCTTCCCAAACAATCCTGCAATTCGAAGGAGGAATCCAATGGGAGACTGTCTCACATTTGTGAAGAGGCTGCATTCAGAAGTCCTGGCCTGACATGCTGGGTTCCATTTTTGGGTAAAAAAGTAGAAGCAGAGTGGCACTCGGATGGTGATAGTCTCTGCTTGGAAGACTTAATGCAATACGGTTACCGTAAATATTCAAAGAGAGGACAATATGTGGACTTGGCTTTCACCACCAACAGCAAACTGACAATCCTCATTGATATCCTTAAAAAAAAAGGTTGCCATAATTTAGCAATCTCTGTTATGTGGACTTCGCCTTTTACAAAGTCCATTTGAATCTGGTGCCAAATCAAGACGATCTCCAGGCATTCAGCAACTCTAATGTAATCAAGTGGGGTAAGCAGACAATTTCAAAGTAGCATTCTCACACACAGCAAGCCAACAAGAAAAATGCATTGAACTTTTCGCTTTGAAGTAAAACTTCCACAAAGATCATAATAAGTGATTGGGACATTCATGTGGGATTAAGGCAGAAGCTGAAATATCAAAGTATTAAAAGAAAATTTGTTTTTAAAATCATAAGGGAGTAATCAGAAATTTCACAAATATAAAATTAGCTTTTAAAGGGTCAACAAAGGCAGTTTGGGAGTTGGTATGAAAATAGAGTACCATCAAAAATTTAGTAAAATTTATTCAACAATCTGGCATCAGCCTTCCATCTTGAGATTTTAGCTTTCGCCTTGGTTTTTCATCTTTGTTCAGCATCACTTTGTTTGCCTCAGGAGGCAGACTACGAATGGCATTTACTGTTGCATTTACTGCTGTAAAAGACAGAAGGTATGAGATTTTTTCACCTCTATTCTCTCTAGACCCTCTTGCTAACCAGCAGAGCTTTTCCCTTCTGGTTGCTTCTTCCAAAGTCCATCTTGGCAGTCAGCCTTCAGAGCTCCAGGCTTCCCGTAACTATTTATTTGTTAGTTCCGTTGTCCATCATCTTTGTGTCACACACCCTGAAGTGGAGGTATGCACATTCAGGAGGGTGTGACCAAGTGGCTAGTTCACTCCATGGAAGGTTTTTTTGGTGTATGGCTGTCATCCATTCGATGAATATGGCCATGATTGTGCAGATTTCATTGGCTTAGCAATGAGTGTATGATGATGGAATTAACAGACTCCAGGACCTTTGACTTGGGAGATTTGCCCTGCCAAGAAATGTCAAGTTTATGTCTGAGGCAGTGAAGGTGGAATCCATTCAGCCTTTTCTCCTGCCTTACATAGTTAGTTCATATGTCTGTTAGAAGAATGCCTTGAGGATGCAGGCTTTGTAGACTTGCAGTTTGGTATTCTTAATTAGGTTGCTGTCATTTTACTCTCCCTTACTCAGTTTAGACATATCAGTTGCAACTTTTGCAAAGATTATGCTGGCTTCATTGACAGGTTCAATTACAGTGATGTTATCCTCAAATCGGTCAGCAATTTTCACTGTTGCTTCTCAGGAGCTGACAATCCAGTATTACAGATCGTCTTTTGAAATGCATTCAGTTTGGTTTCTGCACTGTGTGGGAATGAAGAGCTATTGGTTTTCATCTGGGTAGGCTAATTGGCAGACATTTATATAGGATGGCATTTCTGCTTTGAAAATAAAAAAAAATCAAGGGTGCGTCTAAACCCTGATGCACACCAAGGAGTGCTTTGTGTCACAGTAAGTTCTGTGATAGTTTCTTGTGTTGAGAGTGCTGCTTAGAGAGTGATATCACATCCAATGTCAATGTCAATGTCCTGATCTTGCTATCTCCAGAACATTTGCTGCATGGTTTGCTTTGAAAGAAGGTGTTAGTTACTCAAAACTCTTAGTAGTTGCTAAGCTCAAGTAGTCTCTGTAGGTTCTCAATCATCATGGTCATGATGTTTGAGGCAAGGGGGTCATACCTCATAGTTGTAGCCCATTTATGATAAAACCCCTGTAGTCGTTAAAGATATTCTGAGTGAGGAATTCTGCCAATAGTAGTTTCAGGCTCCACATAAAAATGGTCATCTACCTGTGGTGGAGCACAGTGTTGAAGCATTGATAGTTATGAGGTTAACTGGCCTTTTTGAGATAAGAGGAAGTTTCCATCACCCATTGAAGTAAGTGCTAGTGAGTTACCACTTCACTTGTCAGGGCTGCCTGATTTGAGATGGGTTGTATTTAACCAGTGAGACATGGTCGTCTCTCCCTCCACTGCAAACAGCTTGTAGCACCCATTCTCTGTTATACTCTGCAGTGAAACTGGAGTGTCCTTTCCAAGGCATAAGCTGGACAAAATGTATGGAGACTCTGGACTGTCTTAACATGAGGATCCCCTGTCAACTTCACCCATTGAGTCCAAACAAATTAAAAGAACGAAGTTTGGAACTGACTTGGTTGACGAGAGTTACCAAAAGCTGCTATTTACCTTTGAGCTACACTCCAGACATTTTTCTTTGTCAGATTTAATTCCATTGCTCTTCAATTCTCCCAAGACATCCATAATGCAATGGAACTACGTGACCATATCTTAAAAGTTTGGTTCATGAGAGATGAGGTGTGTTCACATGCCAGAGGTCCTACATACTGCCCACCTGGGGGGAGGTGCAAACCTTCTCACGTTTACGATGAAACAGTATCCTGGGGCCAGAAGAGATTCAATTTCCACATATCGCCATGAGGAGACACAGCTAAATAGCCTCTTCATGGTGTAAACTTCTATTTATTGGCTATGTGAAAATGGAAACTCGTACATACGAAGTATGGTTCGTAGTTATTCTTACTCATTTAACAGCGCATAAAGTCTTCTTCTTAATTGTTAAATTCAACTCATTATAATGGTACACAATTAAAATTCCAAGTTAAAGTGATCAAAGTTAAGTTGAACAAACTTTAATATTGCAAATTTAAAAAATTTCAGAGTAGCACCTCATATCAAATTTACACGCTAGCAAGCATTTGTAAAACAACAACCTGCCTGGTTAATTTCTTTATACCAAGATCAGTAGTGTTTCATTATGTACAACTTACTGACAAAGTTCAGGATCCCACTTCAAGGTATGGATGTTGAACAGCATAGTTCTGCAAGCATTGGTAACATCTGTACAATGAACACCACCCTCATGTGCACCTGTCAAACACTAGAGCCATAGACAGTACCTTATATTATCAAAACATAAAATAGCACTAATGATATTTACACTTCATGACAAGCTTAATGACACAATGAATAGACCAATATTTTTGTGACAGAACTTTTCATAGTGGATACTTGTTCATACCTTCTTGTTAAAAACAAAGTTCCAATAGGTACACATCTTGTGTTTTTTGCACTATTTCAGATCAGGCTTCAAGATTAAAGTTTTGAGTAATTGGAGCAGGGATTGATTTGGAGCATTCATTGCTCAATTTATGGCAGATATCAGCACTTTTTACCTGAAAGGGCCTGCACATCTATCGGTTTTATTCACAGTGCACTGTGTTATAAATGTTAAACAGATTATTTTCAGGACAAGACAGTATTGTACAATGAAGGATTCTTATAGCAATTTGGAGCAACACTGGAGAGACAGGGCAAGAACATAAGAAATGGCCTGAACACCAATGAGCAAGTTCTACCAATAAGATACAGGCTGAAATTCTCCATTAACTTTGTTTTCCTGCCCTTGATTCCCATAGTGTCAAAATATCTATTGAATTCTGTCTGAATATATCAATTAACTGAACATCCACAGAGCTCTAGGAGAGACAATTCCAAGATTCGAAACATTCTGAGTGAAGAAATTTTCCTCATCTGAGTCCTAAACAATTATGACACTTAGTTCTAGACTCTCTAGCTAGGGAAAACAGCTGTTCTGTATCTACCTCCTAACATTCCTACAGGGTTGGTTATGTCAATTTCTCCCCAACATGGGACAGTGGTCTCACTCAGGAACCAATATAGTGAATTTCCATTGTGCTGCCCCCAAGGCAATTAACTAATTCCAACTTTTTAAACTGTTACTAATGTTAGATCTATAGTCCCCTCTTTATCTCCGCCTCCTTTTCTGAATAGCATTTTGCTACTTTTCAACCCACAGGAACTGTTTTAAAATTTAGGAAATTCTGGAATATCAACTATTGCATCTGCTATCACTGCAGCCATATCTTTCAAAATCCTTGGGTGTAGGACATTAGATACAGGGACTTATCAACTTTTAGTCTCGGAAGTTTTCGACTACTGACTAAGAAAACAGTATTTTCTTTTCACTAGTATTTACACCTACTTTAAGCTCCTCACTCTAATTAGATATTTGGATTCACAATTTTAGTCTTTTCTCATGTCTTTGACTGTGAAGACAGACACAAAGTATGTGTTTAATATCTCTCAAGTTCACTTATTCCCCATTATGTTTTATCCAGTCACTGACTCTAAGGCACCCAAATTTATTTTTGTCAACATTTTCATCTTCTACACACTTACAAAAACTCTCAATTCCTTTTTTATATTTCCTGCTACTTTACTCTCAATCTACTTGGGAGGAAGTGCACTGTGGACAAAGGTAAGCCAAAGATATTTGACAAGGTGTCACATAAACAATATTGCACAAAAGTAGGAGCTCAGGATAGTGAGGATAATACGTTAGCATTAATAGAAGATTGGCTGGCTGTAGAAAACAGAGTGTTCATATAAATAGGTTTGTTCCGATCGACAGGATGTAACAAGTGGAACTGCAGGAGTCTCTGCTGGAGCCTCAGCTTTTCACAATTTATATCAATAACTTGAATGAATGAAGGCATGGTAGCTATATTTGCAGGTAACACAAATATAAGTTAATATATGTTGTGAAGAGGACATAGGGAGGATGCGGATGGATAGCCTGAGCGAGTAGGGAAAGAAAATGGCAGATGGAGCATAATGTGGGGAAATGTGAAATTGTTCACTTTGACAGAAAGAATAAAAAAGTGGAATGTTACTTACATGGAAAATTCTAAGGTGTAGAGTTGTCTAGATGTTCTAGTGTGCAAGTATGCAAATACAAAAATTAGGAAAGCTAATGGAATGCTATCCATTTATTATGAGAGGATTTGAATATAAAATTATACTATGCTTCAGTTGTATAGGGCAATAATGAGACCACATCTTGAATATGGTGGGTAGTATTGGTCTCCTTATTTAAGAACATAAATAGTTGGAAGTAGTTCAGAAAAGATTTACTATATTGATTGAAAGAACTGTGAATGCTGGAAATCAGAAACAAAAACAGAAGTTAACATTTCGGGTCCAAATCAGTATTTTCTGTTTTTGTTTTTTAGCTTGAATCCTGGAATCAATGGATTATTTTATGAGGGAAGGTTGGACAGACTGGAGTTTAGAGGAGTGACGGGTCGCTTGATTGAAGTTTCTAATGGTCTTAACAAAGTGGATATGGGAAAAGGAGAAATCTTTGCTTTCAGAGGGCTGTGCGACTTTGGAATTTTCTGCCTCAGAAGGCTGCAGAGACAGAATCAATGAGTGCTTTTAAAGGTGGAAATAATTAGACACTGGTGAGGAAATGGAATCAAAGATTATTAGGGATAGATTAGAATGTGGAATTCAAAACAAACTGATATTATTCAACAGAGGAGCAAGTGCGAGGAGCTGCATGGCCTACTGATGCTTCTAATTTTTACATTTGTAAAAGAAAAGCTTGAAGAGAAACTTTTTCATAACACTGCAACAGTTAAGACAAATAAGTAATAATTAATAAAAAAGTGTCATTCTCTGACAAACTAATTTTTATAAGAATTCATATTCATTATTAATGGAATCAGTTGTTGAAGCACATTTCTACTACTTCAACTTATTAGCCATTTTAAGCCAAAGTTGGTACTGCAATGCAACAAGAATCAAAATTTAAAATCTATCATCTGAAGCACAATTTTATCCTTTTTCTATTTTATTATTCCTGTTTCTTTTGTTGCTTATATCCTATGAACCAAGCCAACATACAAGCATTAAACGGTAGTTGATTAATTCATCAGAATGTCTTTCTGAAACATCTGTTGTTTTTAAAGTATCAGTAGCTTTACCCATATAAGCCAAGAATCAACTGTTCCAAACATGGCCCGACCATCTGCGACAGCCTTCCTAACTTTCTCCACATTATCCAGAAGCCAGCGTAACTTCACAGCACTGAAATAGGTGCTAATTGGAAGGCCAGTCTTTTCCTATAAGAGAAACAAAAACCAGAAGCTAGCCAAAAACATTAGTCATTCAAAGTTTAAGTTTTGATCAAAGTTTGTACATTGCTTAGCTTGTGAATAAAACTACAGTGTACATCTGCAATATTTGGAGCAAAATAAGAAATATTTTAAGGATGATTAATACATGTTTTGGAGCTATTTTAAATTGAATAGGTACAAATTCCCATCTAAACGGCAACTTCTATATTTAGATTTCCCAAAGTCCCCATACAGTTGTGAAAACAATATTGCTTGTATCACTATTAAAACATCTGAATAACTATAACTAAATAAATCTAAAGTTTATTCCCAAGAGTAAATTTTATGAAGAACTGTCTATCCATGTATAGAAAATGTTCTTTATCTTTCAAATAGAATAGGAGCGTAATGTGCAGGACCTAAACAAGGATAATTTTAAATCAGTAAAGCTTACAAAACAAGCTAACACAAAACCTAAATGGGGTCAGTCACAAATCTTTCACCTGAAGAATATTTTTGTCTTTGTTTGGTGCATTGTTGATCAGCTTTTCCACAGTGGACTGTGTCCTGAGATCAAGCCACACTGATGAATAAAACATACAAATAACAAATTAAGTGCAACGTTATTAAAAACGACTGTGAGGTAGTTGAAATAATAATAGTCAATGTATCCTCTTCTGGGAGCAGAATATTTTGGCAAGTAAACTGTGCCTCTGCCTTGTGAGCCATTGTAAAGCAATAGCACTAATTTGCTCAATTATTAATAATCCAGTGGCAATGCAGCTGGTTATAATGAATAAATGGTGAAAAAGATCAACTTAAATAAAATGCATAAAACAGATTTTTTTTCCTCAGAATAGACTATACAGTACCTTAATTTAGTGACATTTAGATATTTATTACTTTCACCACCCCTCTCAAGTAACAAAAGTTTCAAATTTCCTGACAAAAGACAAAGCAAATAATTCAGAATTAATGCAAGATTGACACAGGGAAGTTAAAGAGTCTTGCTCCAGCAACACGGCTGGAACACTACCTTGATAAAGGAGTTTGCATGTGCCCCTAATAATTGCTCACAGTCTGCAGACCAGCGAGATATGACAGGAATTAATGTGCAACACTAATTTGATGCCATCGCAGCGCCAATATTCATCTTGCATATCTGAAGATGATATTAAATGGAATGCAAAACCCCTCACCATCAAGTAAACATGATTTACTTACATGTTAAATACAGGATTATTTCTTTTCACTGCTTGTGAAAATGTATGTGTTTTTGAACTTGCTTGGCTCTCTGACGTGTTTGGTCATCTTCAATATATTACAACACCAATTCAGTTTGCAAAGGGCTCCAGGCACATTCTTCAGAATATACCTTTCTTTTCAGGAGTTGCAGATTGCTTTTGATTGAGGCTAGCCACATGCAATTTGAGGCCTTCCTTTCAAGTGTACATCTGAAGAAGAGTACGGATAGCCCATACTGCCCACAGCAATCATGTAAAACAGTAGGCAGCAAAATATTGACATTCTGTCTGCAAAGCAATGAGTCGACCCAGATTAATCAGGTGTCAGATTCCCCATTCCTGTTTGTGAATTTGCAGGGTCCGAGTGTGTGCTGTCACAAACTTGACCCACGGAAATAGGATCCGAATTTAACTCATCAATGCTGCAATGAACCAAACTGGACATAAATAGGATTTCCGTGAATGAAACTGCTCCTTAGTGCCTTAGCTCATACCAAATACACCAGTCAACAGGGCATACTGGACACCTTGGTTCCCACTTCAGCAACAATGAAAGTTAATAACTCTCATCCTAGAGGATCTTGTGGTGCAGTGTCAATGCCAATACCTCTGGCCAGAAGGTCTGGATTAAACTCCCACCTCAGAATGTGATGGCCATTGAGGCGTGATATGGCAAAGCTAACGGATTTAAAACAAAACATGCAACTTCTTTTCCAAATCCATGCGTTTCCTCACCCCTCTGTGTCTTTAAATTATCCTTCAATCACACAAGCCCATGAAATACCTGCACATCTCCAATTCTGCTTTCTTTAAAGATCCTTGGTTTTAAACATTCCAGCATTGGTAGCTGTGTCTTCAGCTACCTAGGCCCTAAGCTCTGTAAATTCCCTTCCTAAATTTCTTCAAGATGCCAACATCAAAATGAAATTTAAATGGAAATGCTTCATCAATGCCATTGTACCATCCAAAGATACTCCAAACACAGCTCAGTAAGAATAAAAAGCATTTATATAGTGGCATGTAAATACTACTGGGTAAAGTAAGAGTATGTAATTCTCTTCCCTTTACATAGTATAAGGGTTGAGGTATGAATTTCCACATGTCACTCTCAATATACACAATTAGCAATCTAAAATATTAAAGTAATTATAGTAAAAATAAATGCAATTACAAAGAAGTAAAACTAAGTTTTTTGGTCAACCCATTGTTACCTTTAAGCTGATTTGTGCAGCACAGTATTCGTGGAAATAGCCAAGATGGAGTTGTCAAATTTAGCAGATGAGAAATTGACATAACTGCTGAAAGAATCTCGGTTTATATTATCAACTGAAATTAGTTCAATTGCATTAAGCTAAAAACAAGAAAATGCATCTAAACTTATTATTCTTATTTAAAAATAGGGCCTCACCATTCCTGCATAGTTTTATTTGAAAGGTTCATGGTTTTACGTTAAATATTTGACATGTCCTTTCAGAGGATCATGATGTGGTTTGAGTAAAAAGTCTATTTTATTTCTTAACAGCAGGAAACAAGAGGTCGCATCAGCAAACATTAAATTGATGATGTTTGTCAAGGCTATACAGATAAAGTAGGTTAATATTTAATTCAACAAAGCACAAACCGTTACAAAAATGTGACTGTCCAAAAATAAGTCCACGTTTTTTTTCTTTAAAAAAAAGAGTTGGGAGTCATGCACTGTTCTCAACATCAATATAACTGGCATAGAGTTTGACAAAGAATTGTAGTAGGAAACTAACTATATACAAACAGCTGGGTTTCTGCGCATTTCCAATCTATCCAAACTCCACATATATGGTTCAATTCTTTTCTTCTGATAAAATTATTCTCCACTCTCAAGCCACTAAATACAACACAATACATAGTGCTGATAAATTATCAAGCACTGGTAATCAGTTAATTTTATACTTATGCTTAAAGACAAAATTTACTTTTCAAAAAATGTCAAACAAAAGCCAAAAAAGAGTTAGCTTTGCATGAGCAGTTGAGAGACAGCAGATCCAGAGTGAGAGACAGCCACGGTAAGCGTGTGTAATGTGTAAGTGTGTATTTGGTGCAGAATTGAACTGGTGCCTTTTGCTTTTGTTTTTGTGGTTTATAGTTTGTAAGGACTATATCCTATAGCAACGAGGACCTGGGAACAAGGGCCACAGATTATTTGATATTATTTCATATTAAGCATCTTCAAACAGGACTAATTTAAAAGAGGTAAGTCATGGCAGGAAACTTCAATGCCATGGTCTGCCTTGCCCACTCAATGTGAGAAGCTGGGAATGGTTCCAGTATCAGGGACCAGCATGCGTGTAGGAAGTGTCTCCAACTGCAGCTCTTAGAAGCCTGGATTTTGAAGCTGGAGCACCAGCTGGGACATGGTGGAGAATCAACGAGGTGAACAATGTCTGAACAGCACATATTGGGAGGTGATCGCAAGGCAGGCTAACACTCTACAGACAGGAAGCAAATGGGTGATCACCAGCAGAGTAAGAGGACCAGACAGGCCATACAGGAATCTCCTGTGGCTATTCCCCTGTAAAATATATATTGTCCTTTGGATACTATTGAGGAGAATGGCCTTTCAGGGGAAAGCAGCAACAGCCAAATTTATTGTACCACAGTTGGCTCTATTGCACAGGGGAGGAGTAATAGGTGTGGGAATGCAATAGCTATAGGGGATTAAATTGTAAAGGGAATAATTAGGTGTTTCTGTGGCCACAAACGAGACTCCAGGATGGAATACTGCCTCCCTGGCGCAAGGGGTAAGAATGTCTTAGAGTGGCTGCAGGACATTCTTGGTGGTGGGGGAGCAGCTGATGATCACGGTACATAGGTACAAACAACATAGGTTACAAAAAAGGGATAAGGTCCTAAAAGCTGAATATATCAAGTTAGGAAGGAAGTTGAAAGTAGGACCACAAAAGGTAGTGATCTCAGGATTACTACCAGTGCTACATTCTAGTTGGAGTAGCAGGATATAGCGGATGAGCACGTGGCTGAAGAGATGGTGCAAGGGGGAGGGTTTCTGATTCCTGGGCAACTGGGGCCAGTACAAACTTGATGGGTCACACATGGGCAAGACAGGGACTAATGCCCTTGGGGAAGCTTTAAACTAAAATGGGAAAGGGATGGCAAGGAGTCAGAGGAAGTCTAGGACAAGAATAAGAAATGCAAAGGGTAATTAGAAAAGTGAAAGGCAGAGAAATCAAAGGCCAGGATCAAACAGGGACACTGTGAAAAATAATGGGAACAGGACAACTACTGCTAAAAAGACAAATCTTAAGGGTTTGTGCCTTAATGCGCAGAGCATTCATAATAAAGCAGAGGAATTAATTGTGTATATAGATGAAAACTGGCAATGATATAGTGAGAATTTAGGAGACATAGCTGCACAGATGGGAACTGAAGGTCTAAAGGTATTCAGCATTTAGGAAGGACCAAACAAAGGAAATGGCACAGCATTGCTGGTTAAAGAGGAGATAACATTAGATCCAAGGAAGAGACATAAAAATTGGCCAGAAAAAAAACAAACCTGAGGAGTGGGAGCAGTTTAGAATTTAGCAAAGATGAACAAAGGCATTGATTAAGACAGAGAAAATAGAGTACAAGAATAAGCTTATGGGGAACATAAAAAAAAAACTGACTGTAAAGGTTTCTTTACGTACATGAAGCAAAAAAAATGAAGACAAACATAGGTCGTTTGCAGTCAGAAACAGAGGAATTTATAATGGGGAACAAAGAAATAGCTGACAAACTAAGTGTGCTATGTTCACAATGGAGGACACCAGTAACATTCCAAAATTATTGGAGAAACAACTCAACCATCACCCTCTGCTTCCTACCATTGACCAACCTTGAATCCAATTAGCTAGCTCTCCCTGGATCCCATGTGACCTAACCTTCATGACTAGCCTGCCATGTGGGACCTTGTCAAAGGCCTTACAGAAGTCCACATAGACAACATCCACTGTTTGTCATCTCTGTTTATATAGTAATCCTTCATTCATTATCAGCAAAGTATTGCTGGAATCTGCTAGTGGGGGAATAGATACTCTAGTCTGGCTCCAAATCTGCATTCTTATCTCTGAGTTCTTGATCTCAAAAGAAGGAATAATCAATGAACATCCTGCTCCAATGGGGGAATTGATCAATATCAGGCTCCCATGTTGATCTTTGTGTGAGTATTAGAGAAAGATTTAACATTTCTCTGGTGGAGAAACTACCGTAATAGTGCAGCTAACGTGAATGCTTTGACCACTGGCCATCAGACCTTTTGGGGGAAGAAACGATCAAGAAACACTCCTGTGACATCTATTTCTAATATTTGTTTCAGAAATATACAACAACTCCTAATTTTGGCAAACAATCTACAAGGTTATGATGTAAACAAATGAAGAAAACAACTTACAAATTGCATTGTGGAGGGGTTGTCCTGTGTTTTTGTCCCATAAGATTGTTGTTTCCCTCTGATTGCTCACTCCAATTGCTAGAATTGAATAAATTTAAACTGTTAACTTTTTGCTTAAGAAAAATAAGCAATCTTAAACATATTTTGAATTTTGTTACTTAATGTCTCTTCAGCCTTTAGTTAAGGTATAGATAAGGTTTTCCAGTTAGAGGGAACAAGGATGCAAACAGAAGCACCATCATGTGCAAGCTAGCCTGAAGTACTAATGTACATTGAGTGCAACAGCTTGTTCACCAAGCTGAAACACAGCATGTAAAATAACTTAGAACCCATTGCAATCCAATGTGTTCAGGGAGGTGTAGATTGGGTGGGTTATATGAGTCTGGTGGGATGCTCTGAGGTTCGGTGTGGACTTGTTGGGCCGAAGGGCCTGTTTCCACACTGTAGGGATTCTATTTATTCTATTCTATCTATCTATAACTGACAAGAGATCAGAGAGAGTGCATCAAACTGCAAAGTATAGTGTGGTCAGGTCAAAACAATTTACAGAAAGGGTTGTTGCTAAGGCACACCAATTGCAGCATTTTATGGTTTTAGTAACATGAGATAACGTAAGCTACATCAGGAAAATCAGCAGACCTCTTAGCAAGAATGTCAACACTTGCTATTATGTTAATCACATATGCAGGTCCTGGCGTACCTGTGTGGCAGTGACAGAGGAAACTTTCCCCCACTAGAATCTAGATCAGGTTGGCTCAGTGACAGTTTCAGAGCTGTGAAACTGTCCTGCAAAACAACTTACAGCTGATCTGACACAGCGATAGCATAGTGAGCGGCAAGCCAGAACATCACCATCTTCCAAAAAAAACTGAAGGAACTGCGGATGCTGTAAATCTGGAACAAAAACAGAAGTTGCTGGAAAAGCTCAGCAGGTCTGGCGGCATCTGTGAAGAAAAAATCAGAGTTAACGTTTCAGATTCGGAGACCAGTTCTGAGGAAGGGTCATCGGACCCGAAACGTTAACTCTGGTCTTTTCGAAGATAATAAGCACAGATATTATCTGATGCTAATGATATCACGACCTCACAAAATTAATCTATTTTAGATAGAAATTATCCGTCATCTACAAATCCATTATTATTCTTGATTAGTACATACCGATGCCTGTAGTTGTAGGCTATAGTGTTCTTTCTAGGAAAGTTTCACATCTTTGAAATTGCCTCCGAGCTGACCTAGAGTTTAGTTGAGAAAGTTTTGTTGCCACACAGGTATGTCAGGATCTGCATGTATGATTGATATAACGCCAAGTGCTCAGTCATTCTCACACTGATGCTATATTCCAGTTATGCTTCCATTACCAATATTAAATAACAGGTCTGTAGCCACCTAGTTTCAACTTCCCTATTTTCTTAAATAATAGTGACATGCCCATTCTTTCAATTGGGGCTAAATTTAGACGTGACAGAGTTTTTGGTAAATGATAACTAATATTGCTGCCATTTCGTTGCTAACCACTTTTACTTGGCAAGTGTAGCAGTATTAGGCACTAGACAGCCAGTCAGCCAACTGTCTTCATTGCAAATATTTTTTCCAGTATCATTTGTTTCTTCCTTATACAAAATGCACCAGTTTCTACTTTTAAATTTCCACATAATGATGCTATTTGGCCTTTTTTAATCATTGTTAAAACAGATACAAAATACTCACTTAACAAATATGGTATTTCCTAAATATTCAAAATAGTAGTAAAAGAAGCAGCAATAGTGGCTCAGTGATTAACATTGCTGCCTCACAGTGCCACGAACATGGGTTTGATTCCAGCCTTGGGCAATTGTCTGTGTGGAGTTTGTACATTCTCCCTGTGTCGGCATGGGGTTCCGCCAGGTGCTCCGGTTTCCTCCCACGGTCCAAAGATGTGCAGGTTAGGTGGATCGCCCACTGTGTCCAGGAATGTGTAAATTAGGTTGATTAGCCTGGGAAATGCAGGGTTACAGGGATAGGATAGAGGGGTGAGCCTGGGTGGGATGCTCTTGGAAGTTGGTGTGGACTTGTTGGGCCGAATGGCCTGTTTCCACACTGTAGAGATTCTATGGATTCTAGCCTCTGAGTCAGATGTTTGTAAGTTCAAGATTGACACCAGAACATGAGCACAAACTTCTAGACTGACATTCCAGTGCAGCACTGACAAACCATTGCACTCTTAAAGGTAGCAATGAAACATTAAATCGTGGCCCTGACCACTCTCTTAGATAGATGTAAAAGAGCCTATGGCATTATTTCAAAGAAGAACAGAGAGTTACTCCTAATAGCCTGGCCAGTATTGCTCCGTCAATCCATTACTATCCTAAAGAGAGATTATTTGGTCGTTATTCACATTTGTTGTTTGTGGGAATACACTGTGGATAAATTGGTTGCCATGTTTATTACATTGCACTTCTAAAGTGCTTCAATGGCTGCCAAGTGCTTTAAGTTTCAAAGGCACCATATAAATGCAAATTTGTCTTTCTATTTATAGTCTTGCCTTCATTGATTTTTAATGGGTACACATTCCTCATCACCATTTCCTTGCTGTTAATATATTTCAGAAACTTTTACTGTTAGCTTCAACCTTTTCTGTACCTCATTAACTTTCTTTGCTTTTTTAAATTGTTGTTCTATTTTACTGGATCTTTTTCTTTGAATTCATACAAACTTTTCCTGCTATCTTAAAATTAGCTCTCGCATGTTGAGTAACTATGGTTAAAAAAAGTCTTTCATGGAGCCTTTAATTTTAGGGGTATGTTTTGATTTTGTATTTTATTAATTCCTTATGTATACATTTCTAATTATTTATAGGTTTATCCATTAAATGTTCAGAACAGTTTAATGTGGTCATTTAGGTTCTAATTACTTTGAAGCTTGCCTTAGTTGAAACATAGTTTCATGATGCATCTTTCTCACACTCAAACCTAATATCAAATTCAATTACATTACCAGAAATCAGACGACACCAGGTTATAGTCCAACAGGTTCATTTGAAATCACAAGCTTTTGAAACGTTGCCCCTCCTTCAGGTGAAGTGAGACAGAAGCATGCAGGCACAGAATTAATAAGCACAGAGATCAAAAGGTCATAAAAATGGTGTGAGTGGAGTGTTGACAGGCCGAATAATAGGTCTCTGCAGGTGATAAACAGTGTCAGATGCTGTGTGTAAAGTGTCAACAGCTGAATAATAAGTGAAGGGGTGACCTATAATTGGATTAAATGATGCAGAGAAATAATTTCAAAAAAATTAAAATAAGATGGTGCTGGAGACAAACCAAATGCCTGGAATAACATAATGGGTATGAGGTGCTTGCTGAGGGTCTAACCAAAGTAATAAGTGTTACGAAATTGTGTACAGTACTAGTGAATTGGAAGGCACGAAGTTAGAATGTGTTTGTAAATATGCTAAGGGGGAAAGAGTGTGTAGTCCCTTTAAGAGGTAAAGTGCTTTTCTAAACTTGGAGATTTAGACAGAAAATGTGTCTGTAAGCAGCTGATAGGTTCAGCCAGTTCTGAAACTGAAACATGTATCAATTGGCTGTATGAATGGAAACCTTAGGTTTGTTTTGATGTTTTGGCAACTAGCTTGAAGATCAGTCAATTAATTTAAACTAAGCACTTAGAGATTGAAAACCAGTTGAACTTAAATCCGATGGTTTTGACAACCTCAGACCAATCCTACTATAAGAAATTTGACAGATCATCAGAGTATATAAGGGGGTTTTTGAAAATTGGGGTGAGAGCAAACTGCCATCTGAGGAATAAATATCTAGCTCTCACAGTAATCCCTAAGCTCTCTGAGAAAGCACCATCTATCTATATAAGGTACCATTTCTAGCTAAAAGCCCTCACAGAAGAATTCACAGAGAGAACATCCCTGATAGAAGGAGCAGCAGAAGAAAGGCGTTCGTGATTGGGCAGACAGTGAAGAAGGCAGAACATTCTAGAAGATACATCCTGTATGGACTTTGAGAGTCTAAGTTTTAATTTAGTTTTCTCATTACTTAGGTTTACATAAGTGGGATTTGTGTTTATTGGAACAGCATACCAGTAGAATTTTATTCAGTTAGGGAATAGTTAGTAGTTAAGGGGGAATTGTTTGATTTGTTAGTAGTTCTGTTAATTTGTTCACTGCTAGGGTTAAATAAATAAATTGTTACTTGTTACTCATCAAGTGAATAACATGGATTTTCTTTCATTTAACCACTCTATTTTAACAGATTAGGTGAGGTGAGCTTCTCTAGGTGTTTTGGGTTTATTAGAAGAGGACCTCTACTTCTGCCATAACCGATTGGGGATTTGTGTTTTGATTTTAATTATCAGAGGGGTTAAACCTCCCCTTCCTAAAAATAATTAATCCAAATCATATGATTTCTGACCTTATCCACCCCAGTCCAGCACCGGCACCTCCACATCAATTACATTATGGTCACTTGCCAAAGATGCTCCTTTACCATCAAATCATTGACTAACTCTCTCATTTACGTGTCACTATGTCTGGCATGTTTACTCAGCAAGCTGAAGAAGGGTAATACCCAAAACGTTGACTGCTCCTTTCCTCCAGATGCTGCCTGGCCTGCTGTGTTCTTCCAGCCTCCTGTTTGTCAACCATTTTTAAACATATTTTTTGAGCATTCTAGAAATTAATTGACTTTGAAAATTGCTCAGCTTCTCCCAGTTCACGTGAAAATCAAATTTCCTGATGTAAGTGCATCCCTGTATACTTCAATGATCTCTCATTTAATACACCTCTCTTCCCTATTATAATATTACAATCAAGGGGTTTGCAGTTAAGGACAACTGGAGTTTCATTTTCTTTGAGAATGCTTAACTCTATTGCTGGAGTTTCTATTTACTGAATCATCCATACTGAACTCCATTCTTTCCACTATTGTACATGTTATTTTCTTTGTATGGCTACTGTTCCTCTTTTCCAAATATCCATTTCTTTTCTAAAGATCCTGCAGCCAAGAATGATTAGCTTACAATTATACCTGGCTCTCTGGAAAGGTTGCCACATCATACACTTTGGTGTCCTCAACCAAGAGCTTGCAAATTATTGGGCTCTGTTCAGCTCGACTTAGACATCTTGTGCTGTGCATTAAGTTATTGTGAAAGAAAAGGAGTAAATTTTTCATTTATTCATTTGTGGATGTGAATAATGCTATGTAAGCCTGGAGTTACTGTCCATCTCAAATTGCCCTCGAGAGGCACCTTCTTGAACTACTGCCAGCCTTTAGGGACAGGCTTGCCCACAGTGCTATTAGGAAGGCAGTTTGAGGATTCTAGCAACAGTGAAGGTACGGCCCCATAGTTCCAAGTTTACAGGGAAGTAGCAGTGTAATGGTAATGTCACCTATACTAGTAAACCAGAACCCCAGCTTAATACTCTGGGGACATGGGTTCGAATCTCAACAGATGATGAAATTTGAATTCAATAAAATCTGGAATAAAGACCTAGTCTAATTGTCGCAAACTGCTAATTATTGCAAAGAAAATATCTGGCTCACTAATATCTCTTACAGAAGGAAATCTATTAATCCCTACTTGATCTGGGTCTACATGTTACTCCAGACCTACAGCAATGTGGTTCATTCTTAACTGCCCTCTGAGCAATAGGGATGGGCAGAACCCGCACAAGCTATGAATGATTAAAAATAGACAGCATGATGAGTGACTGGAGGGGAACTTGCAGTTGGTTGGGGTCCTATGTATCTGCTGCCATTTTCCTTTTGGATTGAAGAGGTCATAGATTTGGAAGGTGCCATTGAAGAAGCTTTGGTGGAGTGTCTCCCATACACATTGTGCACTAGATGTGTAGGGTGTGAATGTTGAAAGTGGTGGTGGTGGTGTGCCAATCAAGTAGGCTGCTTTGCCCTAGACAATGTTGAGCTTCTTAAGTGTTGTTGGAACTGAATATATCAGGTTAGTTGAGAGCATGCCATCCTATTCCTGACTTGTGCCTTGTAGATAGTGGAGAGATTGAGGAGATGGGAGGACTGTTACTTTCGGTAGAATTCCTTGCCCCTGACATGCTCTTGTCGCCTGATCCAGTTCAGTTTCTGGCCAATAGCAAATCCCAGAATGTTGTTATTGGGAGTGTTGGTGTTGGTGTTGGTGATGACATTTAAGATTAAGCAGAGATGATTAGATTCTCGGTGTTCGAAATAGTCATTACTTGGCACTTGTGAGGCATGACACTTCCCTTAAATGTGGCTTTGAAGGAAACAATATAAATCATCTCTTTTTTTTAAGTTAGTTCTTGGATTTTGGGCATTACTGGCAATGCCAAGAATTATTTTCCATTCCTAATTGCTCTTGAGAGGCTGGTGGTTTGCAACCTTCTTAATCCTCTGCAATGCATGAGAGTCAAGGCCAGAGGGCATAGTCTCAGAATAAAGGGGCACTATTTTATACTGAGACGAGGAGGAATTTCTTCCCTCAGAGGGTTGATACTCTTTGGAACTCTGCTACAAAGGAGGAGGGCAGAGTCCTTGTGTATTTTTAAGGCTGAGGTAGATAGAATTCTAAGATTCTAGGGGATTCAAGAGTCACACAGAAATTGCAGGACATGAAGAATGTCGAATCAGTTATGTTCCTATTGAATGGTGGAGTAGTCCTGAGGGGCTAAATGACCTACTCTGCTTCCTATTTCTTATGGTCTTACTGTCATTCTGTTCCAACATTGGAGGAGCTGAACTTTTAAGGTGGTGGATGGGATTGCTTAGTATTGGATGGCGTTGAGCTCATATGCGATCCATCCCTTATGTTTTGTCAATGGTAAACAGGCTTTTGTGGAGTCTGGAGTCGAGTTACATGCCACAGAATTCACAGGCTTTGACCCGCTCCTGTCATCAGTGTATTTATTTGTTTGGTGCAGTTAAGTTTTTGGTCAATAGTACCTTCCTGGGTGTCTATGGTGGGAGGCTCCATAATAGTAATGGAATTGAATATTAAGGTCAGATAGACATGTGCGGCACAAACATTGTTCAGTTAACACACATTACACAAGTTTAGTTCTGTCATCAATGCTCCCTTGCTTTAGAAACAACAAGAAACTCAGCAGGTCTGGAAGTGTCTGCAGAGAGAGTAACAAGAAATATTTCAAGTCCAAAATGACTATTATTTTTGAAACTACTGAACTTGAATTGTTTCTCTCTCCACAGATGCTACTAAATCTACTGAGTTTCTCCAGCACTTTGATTTTATTTCATTACTCTGCAGTATACTGTTTTTGTGTTTTTGCACAGTTGCATTGATTGTTTGTTTTCTAAGATGTTAAAAAATCACATCATGTTCATAATCACAAACATTTACAACTTAAATACCTTTAATATTGGAGACATCAATCTTCTGGTGCTTCAATTTATCACATGCTTTCTCAACACATTCAAAAACCGAACGCAAAATCTCCCTGGGATCTTCTTCTGCCCATCTATAGAATAAAATTAAAACTGTTGATTATCAAAAAAGTTCAATATACAAGAAAGGACAGGAAATGAAAAAATAGCAATTGAAGGGCAAGTTGTACCTTTAAGATTTTAGATTTTGCAGACAGAGGCAAGATTTGATGTCATGACACCACCCATATCAAAATGTCAACGACTCCATTCTCAGTTGTCTCATTTTACTTTATCTATACTAAAACAAACACACAAGGCTGAGGCTCCTTTCCCATTCCATCTATATTTACCTGCAATCTATTTCTAATTTATGTTAACTTACATCTTCACATATACTCACATTGCCTGGCTTGAAAATGTTACAATTCAGTTGTCACAAAGGCTCCCTAACATTCAGACCAAACAAAACCTGGTCAGTGTCACTGGAAAATATAGCCTGCCTGTTGAGAAAGAATGTCCTTATTATAAGCAACAGTGACCAGTCTGAAAATGCATCATTCAAAAATAGCAGGAAAAAAGTCTCCAAGACTAGCATAGAGTCCAACAGAACCATTAGTAGCTGCCTGCTTGAATGTTCACCAGTTCTGAGATTGGTAAACAGGAGGAGGACATTCCTGACATTAAGCTCCAGTAAAAGGGCAAATTGTTCTGTCTCCAGCTGCACTGGATCTTGTCCTTTCTAATAAAGGACAACAGCTCATAGTGATAATCCCAAATCTGATGAGATCCAAAAAAGATGCAAGAAAAGGCATTAAACGTCATCACAGCTTAATCAAGAGTAGGCAAACCAGTCAATTGAGCCTGATCTGCCATTAAACAAGCTTACAACTGCCTTTCTATCTCAAATTCACATTCCCAGCCTATCCACAGAATTCCTTTATTCGCTTACTGTTTCTATTGATGATTTTCTGTTGATCTCGGTCTTCAATAATTATAGAGCAGCCTCAAGTTCCCAATGCAAAGAATTCTAAAGATTCACAACCATTTGAGTGAAGAAATATTACCTCATCTCAGAGTCTTAAATGGCCATCTCTTCATTCTGAGACTATGACCCTTTCTTCTAAACAGCTAGGGGAATCATGCCAACAGCCAGTTCTTGTAAATACTCAAGCTTTCTATACAACGTTTAAATGAATGTAAACCCATTATTATTCATGATACAAACTAGGGCTAGCAAGAAGGATATTTAAAACACATTTGAAGTCAATGAAACTTGTAGTCAATAAAATTGCCACAATACCATCCGAAAAAGAAACAAAAAAGAGATTTCAAAATATCAGGCTTGAAGTGCCTCATATTTGATTTCTGCACTGCAGTAAGGAACTCATGTTCCTCACTACACTGAGGCTGGAGGGTTGGAAGGGCTGTACAAAGGCAGCATTTTCAACATAATAGAGATAACAAGGTGTAGAGCTGGATGAACACAGCAGGCCAAGCAGCA